CTCTCTGCCCCTCCCCTGCTCTTGCTCTCTCTCAGTTTCAAAAATAAATAAACATTAAAAAAAAAAAAAAGAGGTGAGGGAGGGGTGATGGGCTAAATGGGTAAGGGGCATTAGGGAATCTACTCCTGAAATCATTGTTGCACTATATGCTAACTAACTTGGTTGTAAATTAAAAAAAAAAAAAAGTGAGAAAAAGTTAAAGGGACTGAGGTTGTTTATTCTAGAAAACATAGAGAATTTAAGGGTTTCCCCGTATATGAAGCGTTATAATCCCTTAAAGTCTATTTAAGTCTTTGACATTTGGTGAGCCAGACACAGACTCCTCAAAGAATCAGTTGTGGAAATAACAGCAACACACTTCTTTAAGCCAGGGGCTATTAAGCTTTTGCATTTGAAATGGGTTCAATCATTAATTGCACATAATTAACAGTAAATAACTGAGTCACCAAATGAATAGTGTTTAAGAAAAGCTATTATTTCCTACTGATAAGCAACTAAAATAATTGTTATCTTCAAAGTCCACCCAGTAGGTTTGAGCTCACAGGCCCAGTATGATTCTGAGGAACATCGTAACTGCTGACACAACTTATGTAAGTTATTGCCAACTATTTACAGATGTAGTTTATGTATGTAACAGACTAACCAGAGATCAAAACAAAAAAAGGAAAGAAAGAAAAAGAAAAAAATGAGAAAGAAAAAAAGGGTGTATTTTGTTCTTGATACTTATAATAACTAGATTGGAAGACAATGAGGTTTCCTTAATAAGGAAGGATAATGGTTTTACTTCAGATCTTAGCAAAATTTAAAGTAATTTCTAGCAACTATTTATCAAAAAGCTGTGCCAGCATTTTAAGGGTTCTGGTCTCTTAACACTTCCCCTGGATTTTTCTCAGGAGTCTAATACAGAAAGTGAAAAAGTCCGGTAATCTAAGAGGCCTTATATTTGATCCTAATGTAGTCTTGCTTTAAAATGGTTTTCACATTGTTACAAAACACACTTGAACTTTGGGCACTTCAGTTTTGAGTTTGAACATGGCTAATTTGGCCCAACAAAGATGTTGAGCTGTGGACCACTCCCACCCCCAACACACAGAATGAGAATACTCTGAACCATTTTCTAGATGAAGGAAACAAGTTAATTTGGCTCTGTGCCAAGGCAGTATAAAACAGTATCAATTTCAGTTCCCATGGATATCTGAGTTTTTTCTGCCTATACCTTGGGTGGCTTTGTGTTTTATTATATGGTTTTGCTCAGAAAATTCAATAAATTTGTCACTTTAATTCTCATATTCTTACCTATTTATAACAGGCTTTTCCGGGTTAATTATTTCCTGAGCCAATTCATGACTTGGACTATCCTTAAATTACCTTTCCAAGAAAAGTGGTTTTCATTTTTTTTGAAGCTGTGGGATACTGCATTTGATATACCAAAGGATAAGCATAGCTGGAAACTATAGCAACAACTCATGATGTCTGACCCACTTAAGTAGATGAGTTTGTAGTAGAATGAAGGAAAAGGTGCAATACAAATAATATGAATCAAAAACATCTTTGCTTTTGTAATCATGTGGTTGGTAGCACTATTCTTACTTCTCTAGTCTTATTGATTTATCTGCTATAAAACAAATGTTCCAATGAATGCTGGCCCTCATTTCCATTACCAACTGACTTATGAATGAATAGAAGCCATTCAGGTCCCGTAGCTGTCATTTTATCAATTTTTCTCCTTACGGGAAGTGGTATTTCTTATATTGTTATGCTCTTCAACTCTTCCAAAGTTACAATGAAAGAACTACAAACAACAGAGGACTTTATTATGATATAAAAAGTCATGATGGTTCCATATCAGGCACCAGTTTAGGGAAAAGGTTTCCCATTTTGAAAAGTAGGTAAAAACCAAGCACTGATCTCAGTGGAACATATTACCTAAAAAGAAAAAAAAATGCTATATTACCTCCTTAGGTAGTTGTTTGTTTTTATTTTTAATATTTGGGTCAACAGTTTACAGTATCACCAGCCCAATTTTCTAAAGTTCTGAACATAACTATATCTTAATATTTCTTTTATGGTTTTTTTCCTGTTACTTTTAGGACTTCTACAAAAAAAAAGAAGAAAAGAAAAGAAAACCTCTAAATGTTGACCATTCTTTAAACTAGCACAAAAGAAATATAAATATTGGCATTTTTATGTCTGTGTTAGAGCTAATAATAATGATGATGACAATAGCAGTCTACTGATGTTATGTTCCAGGCATTCTACTAAGTTCATTTGATCCTCCTAGCAATTTTATATGATAAACACTATTATTATCTCTGTTTCACTGAGGAGAGAAAAGTACTATTATTCTTATGTTACTGATGAAACCAAAGCTCAGAGAGGTAAAATAATTTGCCCAAAGTAGAAAGTGGCAGAGCCAGAACTGAAACCTGAGTCTATTCAATGCCAAAGCTTGTGCTCATAATCTCTACATTATAGATAAAACAGATAAACAAAATATTTGCCCTATCTGTATGGAGTCCTATTTTAAAAGAAAATATTGGAACCCATAGTCTAAACAAAATACTTTCTGTTTTAAAATTTTACTTATATGAAACCTTTCATTTTTAATTTTTTTAAAGTTTATTATTTTGAGGGGGGAGAGAGAGAGAGAGAGAAAGAGAGAGAATGGGGGAAGGGCAGAGAGAGAGGGAGAGAGAGAATACCAAGCAGGCTCTGCACTGTCAGCACAGAGCCCTACATGGGGCTCAGTCTCATGAATCATAAGACTGAGCCCTACGTGGGGCTCAGTCTCATGAATCATGAGATCATGACCTGAGCTGAAATCAAAAGTTGGATGCTTAACAAACTGAGCCACCCAGGTGCCCCAATTTATATGAAACCTTTAATAAAAGCATAAATATCAGCTAGACATTTAGCTGAACATTCAACAACTTTTCTTTTACAATATAAGCTTAAAAAGACATTGGAACATAAGGGAAAATGGAGATTTGATCTATATAGGTGAATACGATTAATCAAAGTTATCAGCCTTAAAGTGAGCCTTTAAAATTAATTTTAAGTGAAAACCCCTTTAGTATTAAGTTCGTGAATATATTTACAACCTCTAGTATTCTGAAGAAATCAAGCTAGTGAATTGTAGCTTTCTGATTATAAATGCAAAATAACCATTTCTTATCAGTTGAATGTGGCTCATCTACCTTCTTGTCTTAAAATGTTGTAGGAGGTGGTGTGTGTGTGTGTGTGTGTGTGTGTGTGTGTGTGTGTGTGTGTGTTCTTCATAGCAGGAAGACAGATTTATCCTGGAAATACAATGGTTTCCAGATGTTTGTTTTTTAAGAGGAAAGGAAAGAAGGAAGGAAGGAAGGAAGGAAGGAAGGAAGGAAGGAAGGAAGGAAGGAAGGAAGGAAGAAGGAGAAAAGAGAAATAAGAAAGAAAGGAAGGAGGAAGGGAGGAAGGAAGAAAGTTGAAATATGGTGATAGACAGGTATGTATCTCTAAGGCGAGAATGATGTCATTCCATTTGGAGTTTATTGACACAAAATTTCTTTTTGTCTGAGAAATTTTTCAGCAATGTGAATATGGTTTTAATTAAGAGATACACTGATCACTTGTTGATTTTGTTACAAGGGAGGAAATTCTGTAGCTTCTCTGTGCCTTATTGTGTGGATCACAGGGAAAACATACAAAGGACCATGGCAATGTATTGAACTGTATCTGTTGTACTTTATATCCATTTCCTTGTGCCACTGAAAATCATTGTTTAGAAAGTTCTGCAGGATTATTATATTTCAAAGTATAAAAATTCTGTATTACACCTTCATTTTCTTTAAGAAGGAGAAAGCCATACTGTGTTAAATGACATTACAAATGAATATTCTTACCTTTACCTGTGGTTTAAATTTTTGAATATTATTTTAAAACATACGGAAATGTCCCCTGAATTTAGGGAAGCCACACATGAATGCCAGTTCCTCTATAACTACCTTTGGAAGTTTATTTGTTCATAGATTTATGGCACATTCTCTGGAATCATATAGTCTGAAGTATAGATGGTTGCCTCAAAATCTGAAACATGATATGGACGTGGGAATCTTTATATAGTTGTCTGAGTCTATCTTCAAGTGATACCTGATAAAACATTAAACTATAGTAGTGTTGTGGGGCAAACAACAACCCACTCTACCTGAAAATCCTAACCACCTTACTCCACTCCCACTGAATCGTGTAACCCTTAGGTTTTCCACTCATCTTCTCTACCTCCCGCTATCTTACCTGGAAAAAAGGAGACGAGTAAGAGTCTAAAATGCAACTTCTATATTTAAAGAATAAGAAAGAGTCATAAGAAACTGTGAAGTGTGCCCTCATTTGACTTGGAGATTAATGGGCATGCAAAAAAAAAAAAAAAGTAAATCAGAGAAATGTGTGTAAATTTTTCTGTACCCAGGATCTGCCAAATTGTGAACTCTTTACCTATAAACACAAAAGCCAAAACGTTGCTGATGAAAAAGAAAAAAAAAAAAAGAAAACTTCAAATAATACTAAATGAAGCACAGTTGTTGCCCTAAATTACTCGGATACTCATTTCACTTCCCTGAGTTTCCAGTTTACACCCAGCCACAGGCCCACCAGGCCGCTCCTGGGGTGACTCTCACTCCTCTGGCGGTCCAGCGGTCCTGCTCGCTGCCTACGCCAGGGTCGTCTTCACCGGGCGGCCGGGAGCGTTGGCCCACGCGGCTCCTGGGCCCCAGGGCGGCAGTCACTGTCAGCGAGGAACCGTAGCCTCTAGATAGGATCCACCAGCGTCCCCAGAACTTTGCGTGCACGGCGAAGCGGGAGCCAGTCCGCGCGCTGTGGCCCGGGCTTTCGCCGGGGTGCACGGGGAAGAGAGAGAGAGCGGCTTTCGGCGGCCGGGCCCGAGCAGGGGCCGCCCAGCCTGAGTCTCCTGCCGCGCGCCGGCAGCCCCCGGCTCGGAGCGGGCGCCCTACCGCCGCGCTGCCGGCCGCCCGGCTCTCTCCAGCCGCCCGACACACTGCGGGAGGAGCCGCCGGCCGCCGTGACGCGTCAGGGAGGAAACGGCGGCGCCCGGCGGCCCTGCGGGGAAGGAGGAAGCGCGCGAGTGCGCTCGCCTCCGCCCCGCCGCACTAGGAGGCAGCACCGCGCGGACCAGGGTAGGTGCGGGGACGCGGGGACGCGAGGCGGGTGGGCCGGCCGCAGGGTCCGCGCGCGTCCGGTCGCAGTCGGAGCCCCCGGGCGGGTGAGACGGGGCGGAGCGAGCGGTGCCCGGGCCTCGACTGCTGCCTCTCCTCGAAGCAAACGTGACTTTTCGACCCCTCAGCCCGAAAACCTCCGAATTGGTCAGAAGGGCAGAAGCAATACCCCCCGCGCAGCCCCCGATTCTGAGAGTTGGTGGTCTGTGTTTCCTCGAGGTGAATTCGGATTCTTTTTGATTCCTAAACGCTCGAGCCTTGTCGGTGGACGGACATTGTTAACCCGTGCGCGGCCTCGCAGCTTAGACGAGCCGGGAACTGTGAAGGTGGGGGACCCCCTCCTGGAGTCGAAAGAGGGTGCGGGTCACCTGCGAGGATCAGGGATGGCGGAGGGCAAGGGAATCATTAACCTGTTGTCAGCGGATGGTAGTCTCAGACTAATGCGTTCCTGTCCTTAAGTTCTCTGTGATTTATTTAAAGCCTTTCCATCTCTTTTAAAGTGAATTTGGCTCTATTGGTTCCCTCAGCTTTAGCATTAAAATGTACCATCTAGAGTGCTTTGAGATTTTTAGATTTGTCATTTTTAGTGGTGGTCAGTTGGAAAGGTAGAAGAGAGAAAGAGTTCATCTCTTGAGACTTAAACTCCATCATTTAATTTTGCACAGTGATTTCTGAACCATAAGTTGAATTTCGGTTCTGCACCAAGAGACTATATATTTGAGATGCAGGTACACTTGAGATGCAAGAATAAATACACAGCACTATAGTTTCTAAATCTTTATTTAAAAATATTAGAGTTTAGTGTGTTTTGATTCTCTACTTTGTCTCTAGGTTGAGGATTTACCCAACCAGTCTGGGAAGTGACTTATTTATTTAACAAACACTTAAATGGCTCTTACTACATGCTTGGGCTCCTTCTAAATGTTTTATAAATATTAACTCAACTTGTTAACTAAAAATACTAAATTGTAGCAGTTCTAGCAGTGAAGAGGTTGTGTACACTTCAGTTCCCCAAATGTCATTGCAAGAACTAGAAACATTAGAGGAAGTTTCAGGCATATTTTAGGACTGGGTGTGCCTTCTGGTGCACTTGGCTACCACTCCTGTAAGACAAGCCACCACCCCTTCATTCCCTGGGGGAAGGGAGTCTGGAGCTACAGGAATGAGACCTCTTCCTTTCAGATCTCCACCAGATCCCTAGTGTCTTCTATAAGATGGTCTTTCTCATCCACTATACTGTCCATCATTATTAGCTAACTCTGGAGAGACCAGAACTTCTCCCTTTTTTCAACTGCCACTACACTGAGCCTAATTTTGTTTTTAAAAGGAGCTTTGTTCCTAATCTGTTTGACAATTGATGAAACCATAGTTTAGTGGAATATACCATAAAATAGAATGTTTTGGTTTGTACACATCAACATAACAAATAATGCTCTGTGATTTCACTGCCATTTACTGTTGGTAATGTTGAGTTGATAGGTCAATCTGGTAGATGCCCATTTTGTGATTTGCAGACATATAGAGAGAATATTTTTCCAGAATAAAGTACCCTCTTCAAATGAGTCCTTGGCCTGATAGATTGTTACAGACCCAAAACGGTGAATCATGGTTTTTATCATTATGGTGATTATCAATTTGATGTCAAAATCTGCATGTTATACCAGCTTTCTCTCTTTGTAGCGTTTTCTCTCTCTCTCATTTAAATTTCCAGAGAGATGATTAAATGAGACTCTAAGCCTTATTTAATAGGTTTATGAAGTATCTCCTGGAAGTAGGAAGGCTCAGTTTCCTCTGATATAATTTATGGTACAACAGACAGTGGCATTCATGAATTCAGTTCAGTGAAATGACAACTAATACTTTCCTGGATTATAGAGTACTTCCAGATATATTTGTGAAGTTGGCAGCCATTTTTTTTAAAGTTTGTTTATTTATTTATTTTGGCGGGTGGGGGGGAGGGGGGAGAGAATTCCAAGTAGAATCTGCACTCACAGAGTCCAAGGTGGGGCTTGAAGTCATTAACCGTGAGATCATGACCTGAGCTGAAACTAAGAGTCAGACACTTAACCGACTCAGCCACTGAGGCACCCTTAGCAGCCATTTTTTATTCGTGCTTTTACAGATGAGGAAACTGAGGCAGAGAAATGTTAAAATGCTTTAACCAGTATTGTATAGCTAGTGGGAGACAGAGCTTGAATAGAGAGCAGGTGTGTGGACAGAGCTTGGCATGTGCCAGTCTGTAGTAAACATTGTGGATGAATGACTCCAAATGACTTCAGATTTCTTGCTCTTTCTAAACATTATGCCTCTCAAATACCATAATTGATTTGTGCCTAAGAGATTTCCAGGCCTATACCAATATCCCTCAGTTATTTCCAACAGTATCTGATACAATAAACATCTTGTCTACAAAAAGAGATGAGAATGCTTTTTGGACTCATTTCATAGGATTTATCCACTCTGGCTTTTGAAAAAGCAAATAGGTTGGTTATTTTTTTTTCTTCTAAAATATCTTCCTTTTTCCCTATGATGTGGAGATAGTTTAGATTGGACATATGGTTTCATTGTTTGTGTTGATAGCTTCCTTATCTCTCCCTGCTCATTTAAGGTCATTTTTAAGGACTACAAATCACTGTAGGTTTTCAATGTCCGTGAACTCAATTAAGCTACTTAGATTCAAACACAATGATCATAGATACTGTCTTTTTTTTGCAGGGGTGGGGGGAAGCATCTGACGTTACTACTACTGAATTCTTTGAAATGTTGCAAGTCCTTTAGTATAAAGGAGCTTTAAAAAAAGTTTTTTTTTAATGTTTACTTTTGAGAGAGAGAGAGAGACAGTGGGAACAGGGGAGGGGCAAAGAGAGAGAGGAAGACAGAATCTGAAGTAGGCTCCTAGCACAGAGCCTGATGCGGGGCTCAAACTCATGAACTGTGAGATCATGACCTGAGCCAAAGTCAGACACTTCACTGACTGAGCCACCCAGGCACCCCAAGGATCTTTTTTTTTTAGACAAACCAAAAAACCCCTCGACTATTTATATCCTTCCAGCATAATCACTGAATCCTAACGTATGTGACCTCCAGATAGATAACCTTCAATTAGAGAGGAAATATGGCCATTACCTGGAGGGAGGAATTGAGAAGGGTATCATGGAAAAAAGAGATGGGATGGACTTACCCATGAGGGATATTAGGTGGTAAGAAGCTCTTAATGAAGCCAGACTGAGTCATCTGCCTGTCAACATTCTTCTGTGTGGGGGTGGAATAAAATACTTTTGAAACCTGCCTTGTTTCAGAAACCACTTTACCTTTTCTGATCCTCATGTTTTTTCTCTCTCTCTCTTTTTAATTCATGTAAATTACTGACTAAAGTGCTGATTCATGAAACTTAAATTATGTAACATGTTATTCCTGACAGAAACAGCTCCCACGTTATTTTAAGGGACTCAGTGCTTCTGTTTTCCTTTACCTATTCCATTACCTATGGTGGCTTCTTTGTTCTCATTTCACTTTTTTTTTTTCCTATTTCATGGAGAAAAGTAAATCTAAGAGGTGCCGATTCCACCTCTTGTAGTTCATGTCAGAGTAATTTTAACTCAGTACTAACTTTGAGTTAATTGTCTTGCTGAGGAAGACGACATGGAAATCAAATGATGAAGGCCGATTCAGAGCATCAATAAGGAAAATTTTATTACCTGTATGAAACAGAGCCAGGGAACTTTCAAAGGGAATTAGGGCAGTGTACAATATCCTTGCCCTTGTCCAGTTTCCCACAGCCTCTCCTATTCCCCACGTCTTACAACCTGTCTTGGTCCATCTCCTTGTAGTCAGCATTTCTTCTGTTACTCACAACCAAAATCTGTTTTCCTCAGGTGGGGTTGGGGGTGGGGGTGAGTGAAAGGAGGGTAGGAGGGTGATGATATAAAGGGAATTGTTGTAGGGTAAGAGATTGATAATGTGTAAGATGGAAGAGAGGAGATGTGTGGGTGAAGTAAGATATTTAGTGTGCTCTCAGGGTGGATTTGTGCAGAGTGCTGGCCCCTCAACAGGGCCATAAATATAGGGGAGACCTACATGTGATCAAAGAATGTCTGGCAAGGATTAAAAACATCTGTGATATTGTATGATATCGGCAGGCAGAGCTCGTTTTTACCACCAAATGCAGAAGTATCATTATAGGTAGCTGTTTCTTCAGGCTGTGTTAGAAATTTGTCTGCACATAATCAAAATGTAGAGGGCTGATTTAATGGCTTTTAACTTGAGAGGAGGAATGATTTGATAGGACTTTGCTGAGTAAAGGCCTGGATTTTGTACCTTTTTAAAGGCTTACTTTTTTTTGGAGAATGCCTGTAACTTTGAGATGATAATGTTATTTATTTTACTGTAGTTACTGTATTAAAATACATTGTATTTATATTGCATATAGTAATGAATATGATTCATGTTAGTTGCTTCCATTCAGGTTCTGGATATATTTTCTATGCCAGTCAATAGCAATTTTTTTTCTATAGGTAAAATAGACTTCATATACAATATATGCATACACAAAATTGGACTCATTGATAGACTAACCATTCCAGAGAGTGCTGGATGAGATGTCTTCAAGTACAGTGCGGTGTCACTAGGACTTGACTAATTGTTTGCTTGAGTTCAAAAATGAGAAGCACCTTTATTTCTCTAGTTATTTATTTCCCTGTTTTTAAAATAAAAATAGGTTAAAATTAACTTAAAATGATCTGGTTTCCAATTCAGCATCCATATATGCACACAAAAATACATATAAGACCAAGTGTATAGACTATATAATCTAATGCACATGTATATTATATAATATGACTAGCTAAGAAAGAATATAAGAATCCTATTCTTAGTTTCCCAAGAAAATGCTATACATCATCTTTCCCCCACATTTGTATTATTGTGTTGTATGTTTTCTAAACATTGTTTTTCATTTACAT